GGAAAAAAAAAAAAAAAAAAAAAAAAATCTCAGGTTTACAGTTGAGGGAATTGTGTCTTAACTGAGTAAAATGACAAGTCGCTTAACCTCCAGACGCTCAGTAAGTTTCCTCTTCCTGGAAGTTTAAGTGCTGTATTGAGAAAGGATTGACGCGCCTTACAGGGTTGGTCAAAAGATCAAGTGAGGCTGTAGATGTGAATACACTTTGCAGACCGTGAAAACTGAGTGCCTACTATAAGTTAAGTAACTTTGGATACACATTATTGCATTTAATCTTTACATTGACCCCCACCCCCCACGCTAAATCGGTGATAGTATCGCTGCAAGAGGAAATTGAAGTAAAGGGGCCAAATAACTTATTTTCAGTTAATAAGGTATAAGGCAATTTTCCACCCTAGGTCTGTTCTTCCATTGAAGCTTTCGTTTACTTTATACTGCCTTTACTTAATCTATGTAAGTCTTCTAATTATTGGACTTAGCATTTAGAATTAGAAGAGACTTTGAGAGAAGAGAGTGATAGGCATACTGGGTGAGGGAAAGATGAAGGCTTGATGCCAGTAGTATACCCAGTCTAACTTCTTTTTTTTTTTTTTTTTTAAAGATGACCGGTAAGGGGATCTTAACCCTTGACTTGGTGTTGTCAGCACCATGCTCAGCCAGTGAGCGAACCGGCCATCCCTATATGGGATCTGAACCCGGAGCCTTGGTGTTATCAGCACCGCACTCTACCGAGTGAGCCACGGGCCGGCCCAACCCAGTCTAACTTCTGATACAATATTCATCCGCTTTATTCATTCATTTCCAGATCACCGCACCATCTGTGCTCTTTAATGTTTGTATGGCTGCAACTTTCCGTAGAAGTTTCTGAGTCATACACTTCAAAGTAATCTAGGGCCGGCCCAACCCAGTCTAACTTCTGATACAGTATTCATCCGCTTTATTCATTCATTTCCAGATCACCGCACCATCTGTGCTCTTCAATGTTTGTATGGCTGCAACTTTCCGTAGAAGTTTCTGAGTCATACACTTCAAAGTAATCTAGCTTCTGGGGGAGTTTTAGGATAGTTTTGGGTAGTGTCCCCCCAAAAAGACAGAATGTGAAGAAAGGAGTGTGAGGAAAATGAGAGCTTTTTTTCTGAAGGTATATTCAGCCTGCCTTTTTAGATTCTTTTGCGTTAGTCAGTCTGTGAAACAAACTTCTCAGCGTTTGTAAGATAAATATTTTGTTTCTACCTACCCACATAGATGGTTCTTGGCAAAACTGCAGTAACATCTATTGTAATTTATAAAGTATAATCATCTAAGAATGGAATCTTTAGGAGAAGGTCTTTGGGACTGATCTGCACTCTGGAGTCATTTAATAAAACAATAAAAAAATTTCTTCTTCTTGCAGGTGACATACAAATGGCTCAGCTATACACTAGGGGTTCATGTTAACCAGGCCAAACAGTAAGTACGATTTACTGCCAATTTTAATCATATTGGAGGTTTTTGTTTTCTTTGTTTTTTGATTTGTTTTTAACTTCACAGATAGCCTGTAGGTTAGAACTACCCCCCCCCCCCCGGGAAAATGGAAACGATTACTATTTTTACTACCTTTTACTACTTTAGCTCTTTTAGGAGATTGGTGGACTTGTGTACAAATGTGTGGTGATAAATTTACTTGATTTATTTGTACCCTTCACCTTTGATTAACATCACTTTTTTTTTTTTTACAAAAGATGACTGGTAAGGGGATCCTAACCCTTGACTTGGTGTTGTCAGCACCACGCTCAGCCAGCGAGCCAACTGGCCATCCCTATATGGGATCCGAACCCGGGGCCTTGGTGCCATCAGCACCGCACTCTCCCGAGTGAGGCACACGCCAGCCCTGGTTAACATCATTTTGTTATTTCAGTTTTATTGAACGGGTTAGCAAGTTCTGTTTACATCTCAGATTTATATGTCTGTTATCTTACGTCGTTACTAAATTTTCACATGTGCTCCTTTTAGGCCCGTCTCTGGGTGTTATTGAAATGCTTCCATAATGAGGTCAACAGGTGTTTGACACAAACTGTATGACAGTATAAGATAGGGGAGGCCTATTTCTGTGAAACTAAAAAGGGAGTGTTTAGGATGGCGCAGAGCATTGCTCTTCTAGAATTTTGCCGTATCACCTTTCCTTGCTGAAACCTGTTGTCCAGCTTGAGGCCAAAAGGGAAAAGGCAGGCTTTTGAATTAGCTTCAGAATTTTTTGACCTCCAGAGTTATACACGTTATCTGTGTCCCAAGGGGGGGAATTGGTGAACAAGCTGAGTTAAGTGCTCATTTAGTTTGTTTTTTCCTAAGGGTGGTCCGTTTTTTCTCTATTCCTTGAGTTATAGGAACTTCCTTTGAGTCGTAAGAATGTTCCATGAGTCTTACAAAGTCCCTGATCTCTAGAATGGGTTGACTCAGCTTTATTTGGATTACTGTTAGGTTAAGGATTTTGGCTGTGATGTTTAAGATTTCAAGACCTGCAACTCTTAGCCCAGGGATGGATTTGGACTGGTTTTGACTGCCTAAAGATTGCCCCAAAGGCCTAAACCCATGAGATTCAGGTAACTGGGAATGGATACCTATAAGAGTTATTGTTCCTTATGGTTATGGATGTTTAAATATGAAATGAAGCAGCTGTTACTTATAAGCCTACCAGGGTTTTAAAGATGCACAGTGAGCACTGGAGTTCCCTAAAGATGAAATAAAGATGCCTGTAATTTTACTGTAGCCATCCTGATTACCTGTAATTTTTATAGCATTGACATACTATCTAGCTCCTGTCTATCTACCCAGGTTCATCCCATACCACTCTCTACTTCACTTATATTTAGCCCATATTTGCCTTTCTGTTCTTCCAGTATACCAAGCTTATTCTCACCCTAGGACCTGTGTACCATTCCCTCTGCCTGGCATGCTCTTCTCCCAGCTGTCCTCATCCTTCAGGTTTCAGCTCAAATTTTATGTTACTTCTAACAAGTCTTCCCTAATGGTCTATTTCAAGTATCCCTTCTTTAACTCTTTGTCATGTCATTCTGTTAATTTCTCTTATAATTCTTTAAAAAAAAATAGATTTATTGAGATATAATTCACATACCATATAATTCATCCACTTAAAGTATACAATTCAGTGTTTTTTAAATATAATTACAAAATTGTGCAACCATCACAATTTTAGAACATTTTCATCACCCCAAAAGAAATCATGTATCGATTAATAGTCACTCGTTATTTCCCCCCAACTTGCACCCTCCCAGCCCTAGACAACCACAAATTTTTCTGTCTATGGATTTACCTATTCTAGACATTTCATGTAATAAGTAGAATCATGTAATATATAATCTTATGTGTCTGGTTTCTTTCACTTAGTGTAATGTTTTCAAGATTTGTCCATGTCGTAGCATGCATCAGTACTTAATTCCTTTTTATGGCTAAATAATATTCTATTATATGGTGTATTAGATTCCTGGGGTTGCCATAACAAAGTACTACAAATGGGGTAGTTTAAAACAAAAGAAACTTCTTGTCTTACAGTTCTGGAGGCTAAAAGTCTGAAATCAAGGTGTTGGCAGGGCGATACTCCCTCTGAAAACTATAGGAAAGAATCCTTCCTTACCACTTCCCACCTTCTGGTTGTTTGCTGGCAATATTTGGCATTTCTTGAGAATGTAGCTGCATAACTCTAATCTCTGCCGTTGTTATCACATGTCTTGCTCCCTGTGTGTCTATATCTTCACATAGCCATTTTATAAGAACACCAGTCATATTGGGTTAGGAGCCCACTCTACTTCAGTATAACCTTTTCTTAACTAATTATGTCTGCAATAATCCTGTCTCCAAATAAGGTTACATTTTAAGTTATTGGGAGTTAGGACTTCAACATACTTTTCTTGGGAGACTGTGTTCATTCAGCCTGCAGTACGGACATACCAAAGTTTGTTTATGTATTCATTGGCTGATGGGCATTTGGTTTGTTTCCACATTTTGATTATTATGAGGATGCTGCTATGAACATTTGTGTATAAGTTTTTGTATGAACATGTATTTTCAGTTCTCTTGGGTATATGTATTGAGGATTGGAATTGCTGAGTCATATGGTAACTTTGTATTTAATATTTTGAGAAACTAACAAACTACTTTTCAAAATGGCCACACTATTTTACAATCCCACCAGCAATGTATGAGTGTCCAGTATCTCCACATTCTTGTCAACACTTATTATGTCTTTTCTATTTTAGCCATCCTAGTAAATGTAAAGTGGTATCTCATGGTTTTTGGGGGGTTTTTTTTGGCAGGAGGGCAGCTGGCTGTTATGGGGATCTGAACCCATGACCTTGGTGTTATAAGGTGCACTCTAACCAAGGAGCTAACCAGCCAGCCAATCTCATGGATTTGATTTGCATGTCCCTAATGACCAATGATGTTGAGCATCTTTTCATATGCTTATTGGCCATTTGTATATTTTCTTTGGAGAAATACGTATTCAAAACTTTTGCCCATTTTTTTTTCTTTTAAAAAGATGACCGGTAAGGGGATCTCAACCCTTGGCTTGGTGTTGTCAGCACCACGCTCAGCCAGTGAGCAAACCGGCCATCCCTATATAGGATCCGAACCCGCGGCCTTGGTGTTATCAGCACCGCACTCTACCGAGTGAGCCACGGGCCGGCCTTGCCCATTTTTTTACTGAGTTGTCTTTTTACTGTTGAGTTTTAAGAGTTCTTTATATATTCTGGGTATAAGACCCTGATTAGATATGTGATTTGCAAACCTTTCCTCCCATTCTGTGGGTTGTCTTTGCACTTTCTTGATGGTATCCTTTGACATATGAAACTTTTTATTGTTGGTGAAGTCCAATTTGTTTATTCTTTTTTTTTTTTTTTTTAAAAGATGACCGGTAAGGGGATCTTAACCCTTGACTTGGTGTTGTCAGCACCACGCTCAGCCAGTGAGCGAACCGGCCATCCCTATATAGGATCCGAACCCGGGGCCTTGGTGTTATCAGCACCACACTCTCCCGAGTGAGCCACGGGCCGGCCCAATTTGTTTATTCTTTTGTTGCTGTGCTTTTAATGTATCTAAGAAGCCTTTACCCAACTCAGGGTCATCAAGACCTGTGTTTTTTGGGCTGGCCTGTGGCTCACTCGGTAGAGTGCGGTGCTGATAACACCAAGGCCATGGGTTCGGATCCCATATAGGGATGGCCGGTTCGCTCACTGGCTGAGCGTGGTGCTGACAACACCAAGTCGAGGGTTAAGATCCCCTTACTGGTCCTCTTTTAAAAAAAAAAAAAATCAAGACCTGTGTTTTCTTATCAGTTTTGTAGTTTTGCTCTTACATTTAATTCTTTTTTGTCTTTATTGATCTCTTTAAATTTTTTTTAATTTTATTTTTAATTGACAAACAATAATTGTATTATTCATGGGGTACAATGTAATGTTTTGATATATGTTTACAATGTGGAATGATTAAATCAGGTTACATTTAATTCCATGATCCATTTGGAGTTATTTTTTTAAATCATTGCTAATTATCACTATATTTAAGTTTTCTACAGATTATGTGCTTTTTAACATATTAAAAATGCTTCAGTCCTCAGAATAAGAATACAATTAAGCTTTCAGGTTAGGTGTCAGTTCAAGCTAAATGAAGCACTACAATGCATACATATTGCCTGTTTCTAGGAATCATTTGGAGTTAGTTTTTTGTTTTGTTTTTTTTTTAAAAGATGACCGGTAAAGGGATCTTAAGCCTTCGCTTGGTGTTGTCAGCACCACGCTCAGCCAGTGAGCTAACCGGCCATCGCTATATAGGATCCGAACCTGGGGCCTTGGTGTTATCAGCACCACACTCTCCCGAGTGAGCCACAGGCCGGCCCTTGGAGTTAGTTTTTGTGTGTGGTGCAAGGAAAGGGTCTAACTTCATTCTTCTGCATGTGGATATCCAGTCATCCCAGCATTTCATAATTCTTATTGTCTGACATTTTCTTGCTTACTGTATGTCTCCCTGACCAGAATGTAAGCTCCATGAAGGCAGGAAACTTGTTTGTCAAGTTTATCACTGTTCTGATTACTATTGCTGTGTAAGAAATCACTCCAAAATTTAGTAGGTTGAAACAACCATTTTATTATGCTCATTGATTCTTTTGGTTCAGAATTTGGACAGAGCACAGATGAAATAGCTTATGTCTGTTCTGTGACGTCTGGTTTTTCAGCTAGGAAATCTCAATGACTGGAGCCTGATCACATGTAGGCATCATTATGCACATGTCTGGCAGTTGATGCTATTCATCAGCCAGGGCCTCAGCTGGGGCTGTTGACCAGACCACTTGCATGTTATCTCTCTCCATGGCCTGGGCTTCCACCCAGCATATAGTTAGACACATGGCAGCTCAGGGCTCTAAAAACTAGTGCTCTAGCACAAAACAGAAACCAATTGCCTTTTTTGACTAGATTCAGAAGTCAAGCAATGAATCACTAGCTTTTTCAGATTTAAGGGGTGGGGATGGACTCTACCTCTCAATGGGAGGATGTAGAAGAGCATGTGAAATGGGAGATGCTGTCTCAGCCATCTTTGGAAAATACAGTATGCCACAGCCATTGTATCTTTAGCGCATGGCACATAATAGGTAAATATTCGTTGAATAAGTACTAAGCACTACGGTAGGTATTTTCACAAAAATTTCTCTCACATAATCTTCATAACAATCCAGTGTTATGGGTATCATCAATCTCTTTTAACAGATTAGGAAACTGAGACTTAAAGATTTTCTTGCACCTTTTTTTTCTTTACAAAAGTTGTGGAAGCATTTATCACCACTCTTGGCCCTGAGGTCAGCAAGGTGAAGGAGTGTAAGGTAAATGTGGTACATAGACCTTTCTCCCCTCCCTGTGCATACCAGTTACCTCTCCCTGCTGGGAAACTACCTCTGGCCAAGGTAATTTACCCAAGGAAAGGCATGTTTTCTTTAAGACAAATGGAAGACAGTAGGAAGCAGGAGCCCTAAGTAAAGGAATTAGTATGTGAATGTAGTTAGAACACTAATGTTAAACTACTGTGGTGCCAGGAGGGTAGCATGTAAGTTAACTTATCTACTCAGCCAGATCTTCTGCGAGCTCTGACTTGGGTGAAAGTCTACACATAAGCATGCGTATGGTTTACACCTTTCCTTAGATCTGTTCACTATATAACTTGTATGTACCCCATGGCAGAGTGGATTTCTAGCTGACCAGCCACCATCAGCACCTCCTGTATGTCTAATAAACTGGTATCTCTGCCTATTGTAACAGCAGGTGAGTTCTTTGGAACAGGCAAAAACGCGAGTGCTGTTTCAGATTTGGGGCTCCCACGATACAAGAAGTGAACAAAAATGCTGAATAGGGCATATTTTTGTTCTCAAGGATAGACTCATGGGGATGGCAGATATATATAAGCAAAGTAGTGAGAATACAATGTGGCAAGTGTTACGATTACAGACATGGAATAGGTTTTGTTAGAGCTTAGAAGGCAGGGGTGCCCTGCTGGCCTGGTGATGTTAGGGAAGGCTTCGCATAAGGAGGTGACAACTGAGCTGTTGTCTTGAGGAATTAGGTGGATGAGGCCTGAGAAGAGCATTGCAGGCAGAAGGAGGAGCATATACAAAGGGACAAGGGGAACTGCAGAATGTTTCATAAGGCTGTAAATAGTGTGGATATGGGGGAATGGTCAGAGATACAGTGCCAAGAACAAGAAGGGTCTTATATGTCATTGTGAGTGCTTTGAATTTGGTCCTTAGTGGATAGGGAGATACTGAAAACTTTGGAACAAGGAATAATACTCCGGACAGGAATAGCCAACCACCTTTTCAACGTCAGTGATGACTAACAGGTATCTCAGATTTAACGTGCCCCCAAACCTAACTCCTGATTCTTCTCTACAACACCTGTTTCTCTTGCTTTTCCCCCATCTCAATGAATGAGTTTTATTCTTTGATTTGCTAGTTCAATCATCCTTGACTCTTCCTTCTCTCATATCTCACAATCAATCCTTCAGCAAATCCTGTTGTATCTCTGTTTAAAATATACCCAGAATTCATCCACCAATTACTACCTCCACTGCTATAGCCCTGGTCTGAGCCACCATCCCCTCTAGCCTGGATTATTGTAATAGCCTCCTAACTGGTCTCCTTGCTTCCTTTCTTGTCCCTCTACAGTATATTCTCCACATAGTCCGATTTTCTTTTTTTTTCTTTCTTTTTTTTTTTTAAAAGATGACCGGTAAGGGGATCTCAACCCTTGACTTGGTGTTGTCAGCACCACGCCCAGCCAGTGAGCAAACCGGCCATCCCTATATGGGATCCGAACCCGGGGCCTTGGTGTTATCAGCACCGCACTCTCCTGAGTGAGCCACTGGGCCGGCCCAACATAGTCCGATTTTCTAAAAGGTGACATCATGTTACTTCTGCTCTAAACTAGTTTCTAATGGCTTGCTTTCTTAAAGTCCTTACAGTGGCACAAAGCCCTACAGGTCTGGCACTCTGCTTGCTCTCTCCTACCACTTTCCTTCCTTATTCCACCTCAGGACACTGGCCTCCTTTCTGTTCCTTGGACCTGGCTGACATTCTTGCCTCAGAACCTTTACGTTTGCTGTCCTCTCTGCTTGGAACATTCTTCCCCAAGATGTCCACATTGGTGGCTCCCTCACTTCCTGCAGGGATGTGCTTATGAGGCCCTCCTTAATCACCTTATATAAAATAGCAAAACTTAGGCACTCTCTGTGTTCCTTACCTAACTTAATTTTTTTCCGTAGACTTACTACCATTTGAGATTGTACATTTATTTGTTTATTGTTTGCTCTCTTTTCTAGAATGTAAGCCCTCAGTGGGTAGGAACTTTGACTGCTTTGTTCACTGCTCTGTGCCCAAGGCTTAGAATATAAAGTAGCCACTCAGTAAAGATTTGTTGACTGACTTGATTTGCATTTTTAAAACTTCATTGTGGCAGCATCATGGATAATGGAGGTCAAGGGGAGAGGGGGAATTGACACTTGGAATTGAAATAGCCCAGTCAAGGGCCGGCCTGGCGCCGCTTGGGAGCGTGGCGGCGCTCCCGCCGAGGGTTCGGATCCCACATACAGACCGGTTCCCGCTCACTGGCTGAGCGGGGTGTGGGCGCAACGCCAAAGGTTGCGATCCCATTGCCAGTCCCGGCCCCGGCCCGGTACGGGTGCGACACTGAGGGCTGCGATCCGTTGCCGGACACGAAAAAAAGACAAAAAAAAAAAGAAAGAAATAGCCCAGTCAAGAGATTTGGAAGGCATAAAGTCAAGACTTGCTTGGGAGGGAGAGCCAATGAGACTTGGCAACTCATTGGATAGGGAGAGGTGAAGGGTAATGACTCCCAGATATCTGGCTTGGGTGATTTGAGCAGATGATAATGTTGTCAGGATAGATGAAGCCATGGGGATGAATCAGATAGACCAAGGAGAATATGTAGTAAGGTGACCAGCCATTCTGGTTTACCCAGAACTGTCAGTGTTGGCACTGCAAGTGCCACATCCCAGGAAAACCCTCAGACTCATGCAAACCAGGATCATTGGTCACTCTAACACATAAAGTGAAAAGATAGCTGACGACGGAACACCAACAGTTAAGGAAAAGGAGAAGGTAAAGAAGTCTGTGCAGGAAATGGAGCAGAGGCAGTGAGAGGAGTAGCGAGAGACTCAGTAGGGTATGGTTTCGTGGAAGCTGAGAGGGGACGCTTCAAGAAGAGAGTGATAACAGTGTAGGTTGAGTTTCTCTTGGGATTTTTGAGTTTCTAGCTGTTCTTGGCAGAAGTATGACATGTTATAGAGGTTCAGTAAATGTTTCTTGAAATACAAAAATATGTCTTTTTTTGTTGTTTTTGTTAATTGGTAAATTATTGAGGGGAGCCAACTTTTGATACTTGCTGGATCACTGGGATAAAAATGAATTTAGGGATTTTACTAAAAAAACAATATTACTTCTGCATTTAGTGTTTGACTGTCTCAGTAAGTACTGGGCAGTGGAGTAAGCTGTTACATTCCACAGTTCTGAAACACCATTGAATCTGGGTAATCAAAAAATTGGAATTTCAAAGCTGGACATGTGTCATCATGTATATAATAATGTTTTGGAATAATGACCTCTTTTGAGAATCTATTGAAAACTTGGAACTGTCTCCCCACAAAAAATCATGTGTATACTTGCTGATACCTTGGGGTGGAGGATTGTAAATGTTGCATGAATTCCAAGTTAACAGCCCTCCTGCGTTATACCTCAGGATATTAAGAGGCCTAGAAAAATTAATTAACTTATCCAGGATCACAGAGCTGGATAGTGACTGAACTTATTCTTGATTCATTTTTCTATCTGTTATATATCATTGCCACTGTTTTAATGCAGGTTCAGTCTCTCGGCCTATTATTAGATTTATTTTATTTCAGTTACTTACTGGGTCACTCTGCCAACTCAATACAAGTTGACTCCAATCCCCATGTCTCATCTAAATTTCATCCTTTTTTAAACTCTCTGTCCATAGACTAAGCAAAAATTCTGCTGTTTAGAAAGTTTGACTATCAGATTTCATATATCCAACTTCAAGTTGTGAACTAAGAGTTGATAAGGTAAAACTCTTACTAATGACTTGTACTTTCTTTTCTTTGGAACAGGATGCTGTATGATTATGTTGAAAGGAAGCGAAAGGAAAATTCAGGAGCCCAACTGCACGTCACGTATTTGGTGTCTGGTAGTCTCATTCAAAATGGTCATTCTGTAAGTTCTCAAAATCTTAAAATGAGCTGACGTGTGTTTGAACTATAAACAATGTTATAACACAGGGAAGAGAAAAAACCAATATTCAGCATTATGGAGGTTTTAGAAATCTACTTGAAGGTAATGATTATTTTGGATTTTTAGACTAAATCTAAAATTCTGAGAAGTTTGGGTAATATCCTAGCTATGATGCAGAGACTGTCGTTAATACAAACTTTTTGCAGGCAACAAGAAGACATTAGGAGACTGCTTCTGTTATTCCCTATACCTCTTTCTTCCTCTTGAAGGTATATTGGGAACAATGGCGTTTAATTTTCAGCCACAAACCAAGGTGTTCAAAAAACATAATTTTTTTTTTACTGAACTTTGTTTTAATATTGAGCTTTCATTGTGGTAGGCTTATGTCTAAGTGGCTGAAGGGTAGGTGGGTTAGCAAGGGGCTGAGCTAATGCACTGCAGAGGCATGGGCTGGGAACATCTTTAGTCTCCTGCATCTTCTTTTTATAGTCCCATCTGGTATCTGGTCATCTATCAACACTGGTCACTGCTGTGTTTTCATCATCCTGACCACAAAGGTCTGCTGACTTTCTCTTAGTTCCTTCCATGTCCCTCTTGGGGGAACAGGGATCATTCTGCTACTCCCATGCCTTGATGGACACCAGATGCTCTCTGAGATATTTCATTCCTTCTCCTGCACCAGACTGAGCCCTGGGAACTTTAATAATTCCTCCTTTCTGGCTTCCTCCCAAAAGTAAGGCATACCTCCTCTGTCCTCACTTCCTCACACCGCCTATCTGAAGGTTCTTTGGTTTCTACCACCACCAGCCCCATGGGATTTGGCCCAAGGATCAGGGCCTCTCCTCAGAGTTCTACTAATATATAAGTTTTCCTCTTCCCTTTTTACTTTCCCACAGAATCATAAGTCCAGAACCCTGATTTGTCAAAATACTGATTGGGTTTGTTTTTTAGCAATAGAGTCCCAAGCATGTGAGACTTGAAACTGGAATGTCAACTTAGTAACATACAAGAAGAAAGAAAACTGCTAGGGGGATTAGATCCTTATATTCTCTAGCCAGCGTATTCTTTCCTTGTTGACAAGCTATTTGGCAAGCCAAATGGGGATCAAGATATTTGCAAGTGTAGAATCAGATGTCATTATATATCTGAAACACAATTAAGCAAACCTGATTCATTTATTCTCAGAGATAAACCTGCCACCAGAATTCTCTCCCTGTGTGGCTCTTGATTGGATACCGTCAAAGTTTGCAGCTGAATGTCATTTTTCTTCTGTTTCCAGGGTTAACTAACCTACTGCCTCTTTCTTTAGTTATGTCAATACCTTCAATATAATCATAGTCAAGTTTTTACTTGGGAATCATTGTGTTCCCTTAAAGCAGTGATTTTCTGGCCAACTGCCAGAAAGGTTAAAAAAAAAAAAAAAAAAAAAGCAGTGCTTTTTATTCCTTTTTTTTTGGGGGGGGAGGGGTACTGATCCCTTGGAGAACCTGAAAGAAAAATGCATATATTCATATTCATAAAATCTTGAGAGTTCACAGATCTTATGGAATAGAGTCCAAATTTAAGAATTTATATTTTAAGATGGTGTAGATTTTTACTTTAACCAACCCATTATGACAGAGGCTCTTAATTTTGGATCCTTAGATGATCTTCATGGTTAGTCTTCAAGGTTCAGAGGATTCTTGGATGAAACTGAAAGTACCTTCAAATTGTGTTCCTCAACGAGACCATTTTCAAAAATGATGTGTAACCTATAATCAGTTGAAAACATCTATGCCGTGTGGCTTGCTTATAGAGGGCCTTCTATTGCTAAATTTAAGAGGGCATTTAAATTCTGCCCATCTTTTTTTTTAAGCAACAGAATGCTTTTTCAAATAAAATCATAGCCAGAATCCTAGTATATATATTATATTGAGTTGGGTTGTGTGGATTAAGTAGCTAGGATTTTGGAGCCCTGGATTTGCCTCCTGGTATCTTCGGAGGGAATCTCTGTGGAACCCAATAGAATTACCAAGTGTGGATACTTACCTATACTTTTTTCCTTAAAGGAATTCCTCTTTAGCATAATGTCAGGTTTTCTTCTAATTCTTCTAATTTCTTTTCAAAGTTTTAAGTTTTTACAAGGGAAAAAGACATTATGGACTTTGTATGGCTTTTTAAAAAATATAAATAATTTTTATTTTTCCAGCGATCATGATTATTGTAAATAAAAAAAAATGTTTAACAATATACAGAAAGTGAAAACCCTCTTCTAATCCCATCCCAGAGATTCTTTCAGAGAGTTTTTTGAAAATTTCAAGGTAATGTTTGGTTGATTATCTTTTTGTGATGTTAGGGGTTATAAACAAGATTTTTTTTTTTTTTTAAAGATGACCGGTAAGGGGATCTTAACCCTTAGCTTGGTGCTGTTAGCACCACGCTCACCCAGTGAGCAAACCGGCCATCCGTATATGGGATCCGAACCCGTGGCCTTGGTGTTATCAGCACCGCACTCTCCCGAGTGAGCCACGGGCTGGCCCAAGATTTTTTTTTTTGTCTTTTTTGTGACCGGTAAGGGGATCGCAACCCTTGGTGTGGTGTTGCCCACACCGCGCTCAGCCAGTGAGCTCACCGGCCATTCCTATATAGGATCCGAATCTGCGGCGGGAGCGCTGCTGCGCTCTCAGTGCCGCACTCTCCCGAGTGCACCACAGGGCCGGCCCAAGATCTGTCTTTTACAAGTTAGTTCTCCATTAACTTTTCATCTAATGATTTTAGTTGGGATTGATTTTTATCATTGTCTAAATCATTAATTCACTAGAGGTTACAAAATGGTGATGTTTTAATCCTTCTGTATTATTAGATAGAATTTTTCTGTAAAGAACTTTCTCTCATTGACTAGCCATATTTTCCCTTAACTGCTAAAAATCTCAGGGGTCTTACACCCTGCCTGGATCTGGGTTCATGGATGCTGAACTTACTCCTTAGTCTACCTTAACAGGAACCTACTGAATCAGAGCTTCACCTTGGTCTGCATGGCACCAGCAAGCTGGCATTTCTAGTCTGTTGTTTTTATACATTTTTGATATCTCCTGAGGCAGCATTTAACCACACTGAAGTGTCTGGGCTGTCCACATTTTCCCCTTCTATACAGATTATTGTTTTTAGGGCTCTTATTACTACAAAGCTGCATAGGTTTTGAGTGGTTAGTTCCCAATGCTCTTTTTCTCATTAGCTTTGTAATTTTTTTTTTTTTTTTTTTTTTTTTTTTTTTTTTTTT